TTTTTTTTTTTTTTTTTTCTTGACATAATTTTTGGTTATTATGTGGTTTTTCCATCTTTTGGTTTTTTTCTTGACTTCCAAATGTGATTATTATGTGAGCGTTTATGCTATGTATGCTTTCCTATGATCTGTATCCAGGAAAGCTTCTCCTATTCCTGAATCCCTTGTGTTACATGTTGATCAGCTGAGCAGGAATGTGAATGAGGGTCATTTGAAGGAAATATTTGGTATGGCGGCTACTCGTCGTAAATTGGCATCATATAAGTTGTGGTTATCTATTGCCGTTATATGATATTACATTCACCATAGCTCATTCCAGTGATCTATTTATTGTGATTCTAAAGTTATGTCCTATTGCTCTATCGTGGTACTTCCACAGGTAATTTTGGTGAAGTGGTTAATGTACGACTGGCAATTGACCATGTTGTAAGTTTTCTGGTTCCCAGTTTCATGTTGGTTTTAGAAAAAAGCTGTACGCGGTTCCTTTGATTTTGATGTCATTCTTGTTTACAGGTTAACCTTCCGAAAGGATTTGCGTATGTAGAGTTAAAAAATAGGGCCGATGCTGAAAAGGCCCAGCTATACATGGATGGTGTATGATTTCATTTTTTATTCTTACTCAACATTTAGTTATTCTTTTCCTTCGGTTAGCAGTTTAATATCTCCATCCCATGTTTCGTGCAGGCTCAAATTGACGGAAAAGTTGTATGGGTCAAGTTCACTTTACCTGAAAGAAAGAAGATACCATCTCCCTCTAAGGCTGTTGTCACCACATCAAGGAGAGATGGCCCGAAGTCTCAGGATGCTTCTGCAGATGGCGACAAAGATGGGCCGAAGCAGCCCAGAGAAGGTGACATCTATTTACAAAGCTGTCAATTGATTACACACGTTTCTTTTTCTTGCTCTGTTTAAGAAAAATAACCGGTTCTTGTCGTTCAGCGTCCCCTCGGAGGAAACCTCCTTCGCCTCCCCGAAGATCTCCTGTAGTACGAAGAGGATCTCCCCGGCGGGACCCACCGGGTTCTCCCCCACCCCGTAGACGTCCAGATTCTCCTCGGCGTAGGCCTGATTCTCCTTACAAGCGAGCTGGTTCTCCGCCTCCAAGGAGGAGGCCGGCATCCCCCGGCAGAGGCCGTTCTCCTTCTTCACCTCCAAGGCGTTACCGGTCACCTCAAAGGTTGGATTTCTTTATTATGTTTTGAAATAGCTGTCCATGTTTTTCTTTCCCACTGTACTTTTTTATTTATTTGTTTATTCCACGGGCATCTATTTTGGGGCGCCTTGTTTTTGAGCAGAGGATCACCAAGAAGGATGCGTGGTAGTCCCCTTCGTCGGCGATCTCCTCCGCCGCCAAGACGAAGGTGATAAATTACTAACATTTGATTTTTTGTTCCTCTTTGTTATTTTTTTTTTTTTTTTTTTCGAGATGCTATTTTTGATTCTTTCATTTTCTTGAATACAATATTATTTTCCAATATTATGTGTTTTTTTCTCGGACTAGAGTAACGGGAAGAAACTATGTGATGGTATTATCTCGTATGCTTTACTTATGATGGTATTATCACTATAGTTCTACAATTTCTTCTCTCTTGTCGTGATGTATGATGCACGGGAAAATGTTATATATTTACCTGTTTATCCTTTTAATATGTTCGAATGTCATCTTGAAAGCACATAGCATCTTTCTGCATGTGCAACAATTATAATAGCTCTATTGAAGGGTCAATATGCAGACTCTATATTGGGGAAGAAGTTTGCTAAATTGGTAATGTGGGGCTTTTTTTTTAACAATTTTTGACTGATATCTACTTCAGGCAGCTTGTGACATCTATCCTTTTGTCACACATTTGTTGTGTGAAGAACTTTGAAGGCCTGAAATGTTTTTATGCATACCAATAGTTTGATATTAGTTCTTTTCAAAGATGATATTGCTTTGAAAAGAATGCGATGGAGAAGAATCATGGGACGTCACTGCACCATGTTGCATTGAATATTACAGCATTGTCTGTGCATTTTTAATGCACAGAGTATATTGTTGCATAGAATGCCTCGAGAAACTTATTATTCAGAAGGATGTTTGTACCTATCTGAACATTTTTTTTTCATCCACTTAGGTCGCCAAGACGTGCTCGGAGTCCTCCGCGGAGGTCTCCTATTGGTCGTCGACCACGCAGCCGCTCTCCTCTGAGGAGGCCTGCTCGTTCTCCATCAGGATCCCCTTCTCCAAGGAGGTAAAATGCAAACAATTTGTCACATCCACTTTAATTTTCTTTAATTGTTTCATAGATCTATTTTCATTGATTTGTCTGGGTGATTTTTGTTTACCGAAGGAAAAGAGTTATTTGGCTGGAAAAGTTATTTTTTTTTGTTATCCTTTGTACAGAGGCCGAGGCCCACCTCCTAGACGCGTTAGACGGTCTTATTCTTCATCACCTAGCCCGCGCAGGGTCTGTGCCCTCTAAATAATTAACTTTTTACCAATATATTCTTTAAATTTGATCTCTTAAACCTTAACTAATTTATGGTTAAATCTATTGCAGGGACCGAGAAGGGTATCACGGAGCCGTAGTCCTAGAAGGTAGTTTTTTTTTTTTTTTTAATTATTATTATACTTTTTTTTTTCTTTTTGAATACCTAATTATTTAATGACACGAGAAAATGGCTTTTTCACAAGCATCTTTTTATTTACCATTTGTTAGGGTTGCTATTTTTTATGTATTTATATACAGTCACGGTTGTTTCAGGCCTGTGAGAGGAAGAAGTCGTAGCAGCAGCAGAACGAGCACGAGCAGCTCTCCCCCACCTGCTCGTAAGCCTTAAAATCAGTAGATGAGCTAAAAGCCACTGAGCATAGTGTGGTGTTATGTTCGGGTGAGATTCAGTCAAAGAGGGGTGGGTGGCAGGCTGAGAGTATACTCTATTGCAACCGTTAAGATATTTGTACCATTTTGGGATTAAGTACCTTTTAATAGCTCTTTAGATGCGCATGTATCAGAATGGTTAAAGTACTATGTTGAATTGTAGTCATCTTTATGTGAATTTATGCTACTGAAAAAGTTAATTTGGATTATGGTAAGAGCTACTGAACCGTCCTGAATTAGTTGCCTGTATGTTGGTCTGATTTCGATAAATTTGAGGTTTGAACTTATTGCAGGTCATAAACTCCATAATATTAACTACTGATTTGGAATATTTTTTGACCTTGTCTAGTCATTTGATAAATATAAGGGATTCATACTACATAAATAGACTTGCTCCAATACAAGGGTTATTCGGAATGTTGGATCTGACGGACCTATTCGATGTGATTATGTAGTGGATAACGGCAAATCTTCAATATGGTATTCAATTACACTTCAAGGAAATCATGTCTCAACTATGACATTGGATTGCACTTCTGTGATTATACTTTCCTTGACGAGGAAAACGAGCGCATAGAATTCCCAATGTCATTTAAAGTACATTCCAAAGAAACAAGAATAACTGATTTTGGTCACAGATATTACAAGACATGAACAGAATTTTTGTTCTTTCTAGATGACCTTTTCAATGTAGAATGTCAGTTTGTCACTCATGACTGATTGGTTTTTTGTCGACTCTGAAAGGGTTTGTGGTCGTCAAAAGGCAGCACAATAGGTGTTGCATTGCCGTAGAACTCTTCCAAGTTGTAAAACTCCCTTTGCTGGGGAAGGAATATGTGTACAACCACATCACCTGGAATTAAAGTACACACGAATGAACCTCCGTAATTATCATATATACAGGCTAGAGGCTAATTTAGTACGATGATTTTATGGTATCAATAAAGTAGATACAAACGAACCTAGTTACGTTAATTTATTTCTTGATTTACATGTGCTGAATGTCTATTTCTTTTGAATCACCGATTTAAGAAAAGACAAACTAACTAACCAAAGTCTAGCAATGTCCAGGAGTTGGGTTTGAAGTCCCCAGTTGATGTTCTCCCGTATTTTGTCTCAGCTAAATCCCTTATTCTCGTCCTGCATTAACAAACATAAAAGTTTCTTTATAGTTTTGGGGTGGCGAATTAAATCAATGAACTGTGAAAGTAAAAAGATGTCGATAACTGCCTTATTACCCAATTGCATCTATCTGAGGCCTAGAAAATGCAGTGGCAATGATAAAAAAACGAGTCCAATAAACGAGAGGCTTCACAAAGAGAAGCCTGATATCTGCTGCCTTCACATCATTCGCAACCTTAGCCAATGCCACGGCAACTGCATTTACCCGCACAGAATATCTCCATAAAATCAATTGTGTCCGTCCAAAATGTCAATTTGAAGCTAAACCGTATGTTACAAATTGAAAACAAAAAAATGGAATCCCAATGTAAACGGCATTCCTGATGCTCAAAGCATATCAAATCGAACTCATTCTTGACCTTAATTCCGTATTATCTTGAGGATTCCAAAAATCCTGTTACAAATTCATTTCAACTAGACAATGTTGAACATAATACAACTAATAACATTACTGGAGGAGTATGAGCATAACAACACTATACATATAGTAACTCTGGTTTTAAAAGCTAAAGCTAATCTAAATTTAAAAGAATAAAAGTAGGGATAGCTTACAAGTCAAGCTTTCAGCATCATCATCAACCTCTTCACTGACGGGCTTCTGATCGTTTCTTCTATAGACTACCTTCCCATACTTCTTGAACAAGTCATCAAACATATCGTCTGTATCTTCATTCACATTCTGCAAGTAAAAATGCAGCTGCCCATCAACAGCTTATTCAAATCGAGTAACTACTTAAGTAGGATGCACAGATTCTCAGCACTAGTGCAGATGACAAAGGATAAAAGACCTCAATCAATACAAATGCAAAGTTGCACTCGAAATAAATACTGTACACTAACCAAAAACCTTAAACTTTCAAAACACAAAAATGGAGCAAGAATCAGTACACTTATACTGACAATTTCCAGACACCTATTCCATATCATCATCCATCCTGACCTAGAATTAAACACCACAAAGGCTCTTGTACACAGTAACCCAAACAAAAGAACTCCAAAAGCTCATTAAAACTGTTTTTAGGGAATTAAAATAATTACCGAGCCGACAGCCATACGAGAAAACAGCGAGTTCCGAGAAGAAGAAGGCATCTGTAAGAAGCGAGGCCCGGCTAAGTCGTTCGAGAAGCAGAGGTTTCTGGGTCTTGGAAGGAATACACATTGTCGCCGGAAGGAGGTGTCGCCGGAGATCGGAGTTCCGGCGCAAGAAAGAGTGTGGTGGTGAAGGGGGCTGGTGGATATTATCATTTCCGAATAATTTGTACTGGTTTTCAACCAAACATCAAAGAACCAAAAATTTATATTTTCAATTTGGATCCATTGGGCCCTAATTTTTTTGAGCCATAAATATTATAATTTGATTAAATATAATGGTAAATAAGGCCGTCCAACTTCAGCCCATTAATGGAGAGGCCCATTTACATCATAAAAGGAAACCCTCGTTCTACTGCGAGTATATAAACCGATTCCAGCTGAAACCCTAATCCCTACGGCCATACTTCACACCGCCAACATCTCCACCCCGCACAGCACAGCACACACACGCACAGGCAAAAATGGTGAAGTTCCTGAAGCCAAACAAGGCGGTGATCCTCCTCCAAGGGAAGTACGCCGGTCACAAGGCCACCATCGTGAAGAACTTCGACGATGGCACGCGCGACCGCCCCTACGGCCACTGCCTCGTCGCCGGCGTAGCCAAGTACCCGAGCAAGGTCATCCGCAAGGACTCGGCCAAGAAGCAGGCCAAGAAGTCACGCGTCAAGGCCTTCAT